CCTTCTAGAGATCCTGGTTTGATAGCACTGGGGGAAACCTAGTGTTGAAATCAGGAGAATCACATATGGATATCTGGGTTCAGCTTAGTTACACACTGATCAGGAGACTGTTTGTGTGTTTGAATATCCTTAGGGGGAAAAATCAAATCAAAAATCTGAAACACTTCTGGTCCTGAACATTTCTGGTAGTTTTCCACCCTGTCTAGGAATCCTTTTATTTATGTAAAGATGCATTCCTTATAACGTGGTGTCCTAGTAAAGATGGTGATGCTATTTTTACCCATAAAGAACAGTGGCATCATCCTGGGAAAGGTTCGGCCTTTGCATGTTTTTCTTTCATTGGAATTTTTGTTTGTTTGATTGAGCCAAGGCCTTACTATGTTGCCCTGGCTGGCCTGGAACTCCTTTTGCCTCAGTCCCCTGAGTGCTGGGGTGGCAGGTGTGTACCAGTCCACTCAGTGTATTTAGCTTGCCTCTGCTTGCCCTTGCCCCTATAACAGAAACTCCTAGCTAAGACTCTGCCGTGGCTTTTAAATGGAAAAAAAGAACTTGCTGGAATGTTGAAATATGTGGCAGAATTCTACAGTTTAAAAAGCTAATGAAATAATGGGACTGTGAATAAAATGAAATTTGATTTTGAAGCAGGCACGCTGACCAATGAAAGTAGGAGTTTTTCATATATATTTATAAATCTTGGGGCTGAGGAGATGTCTCAGTAGTTATAAGCATTGCGTGCACATATCCACACAGAGACACATATACACATAATTTTAAGAAAATGATCATCAAAATAAAAAATCAATCTTTAGTTATCTACTCATGGATAGTACATCCCTCTGCCTTCACATATTTCATATGAAGATTTTTCTGGCATCACTTCCTTTATCTTCCTGGGTTTAGGGCATGTCTAAATAAGTCAATGAAAGGAAATTATGCAATCTCACACACAAACTCTCTCTCTTCCTCTCTCCCTCTCCACACAAATGTATGTCTATCACAGATACATACATTGTATAAGAAACTTAAAAATTAAAGCCAAGAATTCATTTTTATTCTATATATAATTTTATAGAAAAAGAATCCTTTGACTTTAGATAGCAGGTAGTGGCATGTCTAATAAATTGCACATGATTTAGTAATAGGAAACTACTAACGTTCATTTTGATGTTCATGTGTTAATTATTTCACTCTTCTAAAAGAGAGAATCCTTAGAGGTTCTGCAAATTTGCGGTCAATAGAGATTAACCACCTAGGAAGCCTATTTATAGTTGAGATCTGCAACGCATGGTAAAACGATTGTGCATTGTAATTGAACAGCACATGGGGCTTTTGTTAACTTTATCACAGAGAATTGGTTATGAGTCGAGTAAAACTAGTTGGACTGACAGACAACTAGAGCTTCCAAACTCTTACTAGTTACAGTATGTCAAGAGTGGTTACTCCGTCCCCAGAGTGCTTAGGGCATTCACATGGAACCCAGGATCATGAGAAGAATCATTTGGCTGCTTCTCTCTGCCTATTCCCCCAGGCTATGAAAATATGTTTTCTATCTGTGCCTTTTTGTAACAAAGTCAGGAAAACTGTTCTTGAGTTCTTCCTAGTTTCTGTTCATATGTGATTAGTTGATTGATACCCTTCAAATAGCACTGTGCCCTCTCTGGGTTAGTGACTATAAAAGGAGCCCTTGCAGCTCTTTCTCATTGTCTTCTTTCAAAGGACTGCAGTGAACTGTGTAGTTTCTTTTGGAGTTCTAGCCCAACTTGACTTAAAAATAACTTTGAAAACAGTTAGACCATCGTGTATTTTGTAATACAGTTGGGTCTCTGCCGATTCCCAAGATAAATGTGTTTAAACAGAAGCTTTCGCATTCATCATCAGCCTCAGCTTTCATCCACATTTATTTAATGATGATGCAAGCCCACAGCCTTGGTGTTGCAGTCCATCACCATGGAAGTGTTTCTGTCAACAAATCCTTGCTTTGCAAAATAAAATTGATTTTACAGGGGAAAGGAAGATACCTTTTACTTCTGAAAGATCTTCACAGTGTGCCTGGATGTCTAGATGAATTGTATTTAAAATCTGTAACTGGCAATAAAATTGGGCATACTAAATTAACAGTTAAGAGTATGGAAAGGGAATGGAAAAGGGAAATGCTGATTAGCTGCTGTGAAGTCATCCTTTTAGAATGTGACTTGGGAATTAGATTTGTAATTTAAAATGTTCCATTAAAGCTGTATTCTCCTCTCAGAGGTGTGGAGCATGCTCACGGGCTACTAGGAGTTAGGTGTCACAATGTCTAGTGTCAGGGGCCATGCTAGGGGACCAACAGGCAGCGTTAGAGCTCCTGAAACACAGCTTGGTGGTTAGCAAAGGCACACCTGAGTGAGCTTTGAGTGGCAAAGCCCCGAGGACTATGAGTCCTGAGCACCTCATACTGTTACTGAGCATAACTCTGATTGTTGCCTTCATGGTCACCACATCCCTCATAATCTATGGACTGTATGAAACTATCAGGGGGGTTCTAGCCCTCACTGGGCAGTGTTACTGGTACTTACAGTAATAGTGATTGATTTTTTCCAAGCATTGCTACTGTAACAGTTTAATGATTTAACCACCACCCTTAGAAAGAATTTAGACATGTAGAATTGTTAGTATTAAGGTGTTTTTGTTAATGGCTTTGAGGTAGAAAATCTTGGGGAACAATTTAAAATTTAGAAAGGCACATAGTTGAGTGAGGGACTTGTTGAGGTAAGAAACAAGAACAATGACAACCTGGCTATTCCTAGCTGACTTACTAGAAAGTGTTGTTGATCGGGGTGATATTAATTCCTTCTACCCATTTCTTCCTTCAGCTTCCTGATAGAAAAAAAACTGTTGATGAGTGGGTATGCACCTTGAGTATTTAAAGTAGAGCTGACTGGTTGTTTTTCATATATAAAAGTCTAGATTTGTGATTCTTTTAAGATTTTTTTATAAGATTACCTTTTGAGATAAATAATAAAGTGATTGCACCTTTCTTTGTTACTGCAAAAGGTAGCCTGCTAGCAAAAGAATTGGCTGAGAAAAATACCTTCCTTGCTTACACTCTGTTAATCTATAACAAATTGCTTGGGTATGAATGTATATGGGTATTGGGGACAACTCATTTTTCACCTGTAGTATGTAAAAATGTTTAGTCATGTAAGAGATGGAAATCATTCTGTTTTTTACTTGTATTCATTGTAATCGTTGGCTTAAAAATAGAATGTAACCACATTGTAATTTTTATACTGCTTGAAAGATTTTGCTGGGGTATATAAGCTATAAAGAAAAAAGTAAAGATAGTTAGAAGGAAGATATCAAGAGAGACAGAAGGGAAACAGAGTAGAAGAACAATAGAAAAATGAATAGAGTAGGACAATAGAAGCAATAATAAAATGAAGAACTAAGCTTTGGCCCTCAGAAAAGTCCTTGTGTGTCTGTTTGTCTGTCCAGTAGTTCACCTGCTTTGCATCTCAGTTTCTCTGACCTGCTGAAGGCTTGCCATTCATCAGCACCCTAGAGGAGATCCTGACATGTTGGAGATCACTGTGTGTGTGTGTGTGTGTGTGTGTGTGTGTGTGTGTGTGTGTGTGTGTGTGTGTGTGTTTTGCTGGCCCCAGAGAGTTAAGTTTGCCACATTCACCAGCTCCAGAGAAGTAAGTTTTACTCGCTCAGATAAAAAAGTCAAGTTGAATGATTAGTTCACTAAGTCTGTGGATCTTCCTCAATCCCCAAGCTGCTGAAGGCTGGTCCTCACAGCAGCAATAGTCTAGGAAGCTTTGGGTGAGTTTTTTTCATGTCCACTGTGAATGGCATAACACCTACAGAAGAAATCACATTATTACTTGGCCTCTGCTGCCATGCAGCAGGATTATTTTTAAAAAGGTCTTAAAACTTGTGCTCTTAACTATCTGCAGCTTTTATTTGCTTCTTGAGAGGACTTTCAGAAATATAAGTTGTGTGCTTCTGATTGTAGCCTTACTCACAAGCAGGGCAGGGCAGCACCCACATTAAGTAATCCAGACTGTTTTGGGAACCAAATAACACAGAACAAGAATGACACTTTTGTTTTGAAGCAGAGTGTTCAGAAGTTTATGTCATAGTGGCTGATTCCAGGTTTAGATGTAATGTATGCTTTATGGGAATTTCAGCCTGTTGGAGAAATGTAGTCAATCCTTGATAGTCAAGGTAACCTTGTATTTCTAAATGTGCCTTCTGGCTTCCTGTCACATTCCCAAGCTTTTAACTTTTACCATCAGCTTATATACTCACTAATAGCAAATTATTTAATATTACTTTATCCTGTTATCTGTAAACATGTACTGACTTCCAAATAGCCCTCTGTTGAGCACCAGGAATAATAAGATACATATCAAGAATGGCATTAAGCTTGCCATAATTATTTTGGTTCATTTTGAAGTTGTGGAGATGAAATTTTTAGATATTTGAACCACACTCACCTCCTCTAATATGTGTCCAGAACTATAAATGACAAATAGGTACTGCTTGTCTTTAGGAAGAATTAATGGGCTTTATAAATAGGAAATAAAATGATATTGTTCATGCAGATATATAACACAAAATGATCAAATGAAAATTCAGCAAGCAATGGCAAAAGTAACAAACTATTTACTGTTTTATCATGTTAAGTAATTCACCAAGACAAGTTGCAGTCAAATTAAAGTGAGTTATGGAAAATGAAATACATAAAGATGTATCTATACAAGTGCAGACTAAATATTTTCCATACAGGCATGTAAATGAAAAGATACACAGTAAGTGCACACTTGATGACTATGATGCCACACATAGTTAGTTCCAGATACTCCTGTAGAGTCCATGCACAAATCTTCCCAAAGTACACCTTTAGTCATTCTTTTAGGGGTTTGGAGGGTGATTAAAAAAGGACTGAGTTCCTTGCAAGAATATCAGTATGAACTAGATGAGGGTGAGGGTGGTCAGTTATATATATTACTTACTGTAATTTGTGATTGTCGAGGAAGAGGTGTGGCTGTTGGTGTAATAGTAATACTGCTGGTGACTTTATTGGCTGTTTTGTTTAGTGCCCCATTAGGTAAGCCTTGAGTTCTGTTATCCTGCAGTGGTGCTGAAGGACTGGCAGGTCTCACAGGGCTGGCGACAGCTTGCATGTAAGGACTTCCTAAGTGAATGTGGATTTTATTATCCTCAGTAGTTATCACACTTGAACTGTTACTGTTTGAACGCTGAAACTGCCATGATGACTGCCGGTCCGGGGAGACTCTGAAAATTGCATGCTTGGCACTGATTTCTATCGGCTCTGGGGAGCGACCCTGCTCAGGAGAACTAGCTGAACCGGCCATAGCCAAAACCTGAATAGGTGACATTGTCCGTTCTGGAGTTACAGAACCACAGGACTCTGGGGTCTGTGCTCTGGCAAAGGTTGCCATGGTAACTGGGGTCATGCTTTGCTCTAAGTTCACAAGGCTTTCTGTAGAGGTTTTGGACTTCACTGGTGTTATGGAGGCATTTTGGAGAATGGTAATCCTTTGCTTTGGGGTGCCACAGTTTGGTATCACCGCTGTGCTGGTGTAAGAGTGAGGACTCTCTGTAGTTGGACTTGTGATTTCAAGAGTGGCTGTATTTTGGACATGATCTGGAGTAACCTTTATGTGAAGTGGCTGCCCAGGTGTATGACTTAGGACTAGATCTCCAGGTTGTACCAAGTTGCCATTGGACTTAGTTTGTATTTTTCCATTCTGAGGGTGGCCCTCCTTGGATTTCATCCAAGGAATCCACAGTTTCCTGTTCACAGGAAGGGACGTAGATGGATTGCATTTGAAGGACAGCACAGATTCCTCACTAGGGTCCTCATCTTGGTCCCCACTCTCCTCATATAACTGACCATTGATGACTGCTCGTTCTAGAGGAATGAGGCTCTTGTAGTCTGGTGGCTCATTGTCTACTACTTCTGTTTGAACTTCTTTAGAAAACACTTGAGGGTCAGAGATCCTTCTTCCATTGAGACTAGGTCGGAGGCTCTTACTAAAATGCCGGTACCTTTCTAACTCTTTAGTAAGGTTTTCAATCTCTCTTCCCAAGTCTCTGTTCCTGTTTTCTTGTTGGTTTAGTTTCTTTTGCAGAATGGAGTGGTCTCCCTGGAGGTGACATATGAGGTCCTCTGTTGCCATGTACTCATGAATTTTCTCTTTTAATGCATCCACTTCTCTTGACAGATGGCCTGACTTCGCTTCTTCTTCTTGGAGCCTCTTGAAGAGCCATTGCTCATGGCTGGACTCTGTCTTTTCTGCTAACTTGTACTTGGCAAGTTCCATCTGAACATGCTCCAGCTCTTCAGAAAGAAATTGAGCCTTGTCTCTCTCAGTAGCATACCTCCGTTCTAAGGTCTCGTACTCATCCTCTGTTTTCATGAGGTCATCTTCAATGGCTTTCATGTCTTTTAGCTTCAGCCTCAGCTCTTCCACTTCTTGAGAGAGCTCTTTAATCTTATTGTTTTCTTGGTGTAATGCTGTTGTGGACTTACTGGAGTCTTGATTTAATTTGTTTTTAACAAAATCTTTCTCAATTGCTTCCAGTGACTGAAGCCTGTTTTTCAGTATATTAACTTTGGACAGCAGATCACGTCCTTTCTCTTCTTCTGCTTTCAGTTTATTTCTGAGGTCATCTCGCTCCTTAGTTACACTGTACATCTTCTCTTCGGCATCACTTTTGGACTTGAGTGCCCTTTTAGTTTCCTCAATTAACTTCTCAGTCACTGTCGTCACTTTATTTTGCTCTGCCTGGAGCTGGGAGGCAGTGGTTTGTAACTTTTCTTCAGTTTGCTTTAATTTTTCACTCATTGTTTTGCGTTCATCTACAAGCATTACAGTTAATGTTTTTAGTTTAGTTAAATCATCCTTTAGAGTGAATTCTGTCTTTTCTAGCCGACTTTCAATGGCTTCTAGCTCTTTGATCCTAGTGTTTAAACTCTCCAGTTCTTCAGCCAACTGCTTTGTGGTCATCTTTTCTTTTTCTAAATTGCATTTCAGAGAGTAGCATTCTTGTTTGCTTTTGTCTAAAGCATCTTCTATTTTTTCCAGAGCCGTAATCCTTTTACTGAGTTTTTCGACCTCTAGTTTGAAGTCTTTACTCTGTACTGTCTCTTTCTCAAGCCTCTTATTGAGATCTCTGCACTGCTCCTCCATTTTTATGAGCTCCTCATCTTTCCCCTCCATATCCAGCACACGCTTCCTGAGCTCATCCACTTCATCCATGATGCCAGTGTTTCCATATTCTCCCTTGTTGATTTTTTCCTTTATTTCTTGCAGCTCCTCCTCGGCTTTTCTTAAAGACCTGTTGGTCTCTTCTAACTCATCAATTTGCCGACTGAGTGCTGCCAGCTTTTGGCGGAGTTGGCGATTTTGACTGTCCTCATTGGTGAGCTTCGCCATAATTTTCTCTTGGTTCTGGTGAAGCGCTGTGGTCTGTGTTTGTAGTTCTTTTTCTAGTCTGGTTGCCTTCTGCTCTTCTTCCTGAGCTCTGGCTTCAGCAAGGGCTAGTTTACCATGTGTTTCCTTGGCACTTGTGGTCAGGTCTTGGATTTTCTGTCTTTGAAGGGCAAGCTGGGCTGTAAGCCTTTGTTGTTCATCCACCACCATCAAAGCAAAAGACTTCAGCTTGGTCAGCTCCTCCTTCAGGGCCTTGATCCTCTTCTCCTTCTCTTGTGCCTTCCTCTCCTGGGACTCAGTTTCCTGATCAATTAGCTTCTTTAATCTGAAAAATTGAAGAGCACATTGCAATTAGGGATTTAGTAATTCATCAGCTGTTATTCATTTAAAATCATTGTATCAGTTCATCAATAACATCCAGGGAAGTTTCTGAATTTGATGAGGAAGGAGAAGCATTAAAAATATTGATACCTTGTCCCTCCCTGCCTTTAAAATTTGACTAGCAGTTGAAGTTCACCAGGACCCTTAGAAGAGGTCAGATAAGAATATTTGTTTTAAATTGTTTGTGTAACATAAGCAGTGGATAGTCCAACCTGAAGGCTATAGAGATAGGTACAGACTTGAGATTTCGGTTAGACTTGGCTTTAAAACTACACCTGCCCATACCAGCTAATTAACCTGAATAGTTCTCCAATTTCCTCATAGTATCTTAGGGGCTTTTTGTGAAAGTGAGGCAATTCATCTAACATTATCTCAGCCCTGGCATTTGGTAAACATTTGATAAATGTTGCCATGGTGCTTTTTAAATTACTGATTCTTGTCCTGTATTAAGTGGCTTGCCTGAGCCATTGTGTATGTGATATATTACTAGTTACTGTTTAACTCCTTGGTTATTAGTTAAGATAGCGTTTTGATTCAGTTTGTCTAGAAGTTATGCACAGCACAGATGGATCTCGTTGTGTGTTAGAACTTTGGTTTCCACTAATAAGATAGCATCCTGGGAACCACTTCACCTGGGTCTTTATTTGCCTACTCATTGCCATTTAAGAGGGGGAACTAAGAGGCAACTGAGTTATGAGTTAGGCTTTGGTGTGATCATAAGATATGGAAGAGCAGGACGTTTGACAGCAAAGAGGTTGCTGATAAAAATCCAGGGCTAGGAATGGAGAAACTGTTAGCAGGAACATAGTGAATCCCTCTTAAATGACTCTAGTTTATCATTATTTAAAATTACCCTTCATAACAGGAGGACATTTTACATGAGCAGAATAAATGGGTCTTTTCTATGCACTTGGTTACCTCTGTAAAGAAGGTACAGTTTTAAACTTGTGAGTCTCTTAATTATACTGGAAATGGCTAATTATAGAGGATGTAATTGCAGCTCTGCAGCATTGTTGTTCAGAAATTAAAATAGAATGGAATCCCTGAAAGAACTTAACTTGGTTGAAAATGTAAATATGTGCTTTCTAATCAAACCTGTAGAGTTCATAATGTTAATAAACCTGTTACCCACCTATTTATCTATCATCTGTCTACCACCTATCTACCGCGTGTGTGTGTGTGTGTGTGTGTGTGTGTGTGTGTGTGTGTGTCTGTCTGTCTGTCTGTCTGTCTGTCTATCTATCTATCGTTGAGATGGGGCTTCCCTGTGCAGCCTAGTCTGTTTTCTAACTTGTCCTATTGAGGCTGGCCTTGAACATGGGACCCTTTTCGCCCCAGTTAGGATTATAGTACTCCACCATACCTAGCTTAATAAAGCTTTTCTGTTTGTTAATTAACCAATCCATTGTCTTTATTCTTGCCCCCAGAACACTTTTAAAATTAAGAATCTAAGAGAACATTTGTTTTAAAGGAAACAAATTTGGGGCAGCCTGGGGAATAAAGACTTCTTTATGAGATTCTAACCTGTTCTTTCTGTAATTGCACTATACAGGAAGAAAAAAAAAGCACAATGTAAGAATTCTTAAACTTTTGGATGACAGGATCTCCTTTAGTTTGTCCTGCTTTGAGGACTTCACAGAGGCTGACATGTCAAGTTCAGAAGCTACTGGGTAGGGTGCTGAGCTGGGCGGGGCCGCTGGTGACCTCATCTGTGGTCTTGGCAAGAGGCTTCATGACTCTTGCCTTTCCTCACTCCCTGCCTGAGACACCTGGGAGCCTGAGAGGAGAAACATGGCAGCTTCGGCCTGGTGGTTGTCGAGTTCTGCAGCTCAGTGGAGGAATCCGGGATAAATTGCTGTGGTGGAGAAAGCTACAGAAGAGCTTCTTCCTCATACCTCAGCTTTCTCAGGTCACACTTGCTAGTGGGAACAAGGCAGTGCAAAACTCAAAGGTTTCCTTTATTGGAGAGCAGCTTCACAAAAACTCCCAAGGCTTTCTAGAATCGCAGCTTTTTAAATAAGAGCACATGCTGACCCCTTTCCTGAGAAGGGGATAGGTTTTCTTAGAATATAAGAAAGGGAAGGTTTTGTTGTTGTTGTTGTTTTTAAGTGTAATAGGAGAGCCTTAAAATGGAATAACTGAATCCTATCAATATAGCAACAAGCAAAACAATATTGAAAAACTTTCAGTTGTCTTTATTGTGCTCAGTGTTTTTGGCAGCAAGCATGATGCATCTTTTCAGCATGATACAAGTGCCGTGCACCTTTTTCCTGGTTTTTATAAATTGGCTGACATCTCCATCTCCCTAAGCTCCACCTCCAAGGTAGACATAAAACTGATGATTGCAGTACATTTGCTCCAACCTGAAGTACATACACACCTAGTGACAGTATCCTCCCTGCTGACTCAGGCCTAGTTTTCAAACCGTTGCTTTTCACATGTTAATGTGCATTTGACTCACCTAGGAATCTTGTTAAAGGGCAGGTTCTAATTAATTCTGTGGGTCTAGGGTGAGTCTCACAGTTTTCATTATAACAAGCTCCCAGTTGACCCTGGTTCCTGGCCTTGGACTTCATTATGTAATGTCAGATTTCTCCCAGTGGTGGGTGACTTGAGTTAGGAAGGTCTAGGAGATGCAGAATCTGTGCTGTCTCTGCAGTCAACCTGCCTGTTCAAGCCAGCCTGCAGACCACAACCTAGGGCTAATGTGTCTATCAGAGAAACCCTCTGAAATGGAAACTGTGGAGCTAAAGGAAAAGATTTCCCTTGTCATTGTTTGGAAACATATACATATGTTATGGATACATACATACATACACAGTGATTTTATCCTATTTGTTCATTTAGCACCTACATTTCTTTAAAAATTCAAGTTTTAGACAGTTAACAGAAGTATCTCTGCCATTCAGTCTAAAAGTCCCCATTTACAAACGGTCAAATCATCCTTTGGGGAAAGTCTGATTTCTATGATCTGACTGTGTAGGAATTTGTCCTAAGGTGTTCCCAGTGTCCCCAGATGAGGATAAGCACTGTTCTCTATCCACTGGCTGTTTCTTTAGCTGTTACTGCTCCTTGCTCTCTTAGAACTTTCTGTAGAAAGTTCTAGAGGAGTTTTGAGCCTAGGAAAATTCCCTTGGTAAGAGTTAGAAGGTTATTTTGAAAGGACTATTGGAAAGAGAGGGCACACTGGACACAAGCACTTATCAGGGAATGAGATTTGGAGAATGTGTGTAGGAAATGTGAATGTGGGCACCGATTTCCTTCAAGTGCCCCATGCAGCTCTGCAAAGCTTGTGTACCCTTGGGAGTATATATACCTCCGTTTGAAGACTACTGTCTTGGAGCACTCATGTTCATGCTCAAATACTGACATTACAAGATTACAGGAACATTCACTGAATCCTGTCCAATAAAAACAAGTGGAAGCTGATTTTTATGGACACAAATGTGAGGTAATTAAGCCCAAACTGGCTTAAAGCAATGTCTTATTACAGCTTTTCTTTAGAGTTTCTTTTATGGCTCAAGATTGTTTTAACTTACTGTGGTTTATCACTATTATTATATGCAATGCCAGTTACTTGCTTTTTCAAAAATATCACATCTGTCATCTTGAGTGTTTTTTGGTACCAACCATAATGCTGGCTTTTCAATATAAATTACACATTTAGAGGGTCCTTTCAGTATTTATTTATATACATATATGTCAATATGAATCAACCTATATTTTATCTCCTCAGTGTGACATGGCTAATAACATGCAGCATATAATGCACATACAAAACAGATGGTGCTCATCTAAAAGCTGTGTAGCCAATCACACCCATAGAATTTATATTGTAGTTTTCACCATGTTTGGTTTTGTATTATTTATGGACATCATAATCAACCCCACTAAAATATTAACTTCTTAAGAACAGAACATGAGTGTAAGGGATTTGTGTTTTCTACAGTGGTTACTGAAAAGCGTTGTGGAAAGAACCAAATGAGTGGGGTTTTTTTTTAATGAATGAATGAATGAATAAAATAGTGAACAAATATGCCATCCTATGGAGAATACCTCAGCATTGTCCTAAGCAGTTTTGTTAATTTGTAAAGATGATTTTCTAGCATTTAACATGTTTGTGGCTTTAGGTAGTTAAGAAAATGTGATGTAAGTGAGTCTTGCCCTCAGTGTTTTCTAAATACATTATTGTCTATTTCATAATTATGGAGCCTCTTAAAAAACAAGACTGCTAGAACCATTCCTTTCTTCTTCAGATTCTTTCACCACAACTCTATTTGGTTACTTGGTTATGAGAGGTTGAAATGGTCACATGCTAGCTCACCACTCTGCTTTGATTATTTCATCTCTGCAACAAAGCAGTTCTTTTACTTTCCCTTGTAGCTAAGAACTCTGATGCATTTTACTTGCATATTCTTTTCCTGCTCTCAGCCACCTGGCCCATGCATTGAGCTTAGTTAGAGTGACTGTTTTGCAGTCGTAGAAAGTCCATACTCACTAATGGCTAGGTTACATCTAGTCCCAAGGAACCAAACTTAAGTAGTGAACAACTTCAGTTACCTCTGTTCTCTCTCCTGTCCTTTGAAAGAGACAGCCCACTGCCTTTATGGTGTGGATCTTGAATTTAACCGTTGATGTGTAAACATGGCAATACTCAGTTTACAAGAAAGCCTTCTAGACTAGGGCTATAATAAGGAGGCGAACAAGGGGAAAGGAATTTGTTCTCCAAGAGTTTATAGAGAGGCTAGTGAGACGGCGTAGCCTGTAAAGGCACTTAGTGCTAAGCTCCAGTACTTGAGTTTGATCCCTGGGTCCCACAAAGTGGAAGGAGGGAACCAATCCCCCAGAGTTGTCCTCTGACCTCCAAACATCCTCCCCATCTAGATAAATTAATGGAATAAAGCAAAACAAGTTTTGAGACTGAACACATAGGTCTAACTAACA